TCAAAGTGTACCACATAATCATAAAAAAGTACAATATAAAAAGAGCTTTATATATTTATATATAAATTAAAACTTTCCAAATATAATGAACATTTCTAAATAACGTAAAAATACGAAGGAACATCTGTTGGTCAGGCTGAAAAGTTTGGGAACTACTGGTAGGGTTGAGCATCAAGCATCGATTAGAACCGGTTCCAACTGTTAGTTTTTACTGGAATCGTTCAACTTTTTTTTTTTTATTCCTAGTTTTGATTCCTAGAATGCCGACGGAAGAGGAATCCGCGGCCAATCTCTGTGAAAAATAAACGTGGTCTGCAAATTGTGATCAACGCTTATCGGTGCTGATCACACCAGGTGTCTGTGTGCAGCACCGAGTCCCACCTCCCCTATAAACAAACGCGTCTGCTGAACTTTTACTCTGTGATGTAAACGTTAACTCCTGCAGCGTAGAGGAAACGTGTTAAAATACGTCAACACAGTGGATTTAATAGAAGCTTTAAAGAACAAACTCTGGACGGTGTGAGGTGAGTTTGTCTCACTGCAGAAATAAAAACACAAACCGAGCATCAGCAGTCAGACACAGCTGCTCACCAACACTCGTGTGTGTGTGTGTGTGTGTGTGTGTGTGTGTGTGTGTGTGTGTGTGTGTGTGTGTGTGTGTGTGTGTGTGTGTGTGTGTTGGGGGGAGGGCACTTTGTTTTCATTTAGTTGGTTAAAAAAAGTCAGGCTCGGGTCGGGCCAGAGAATCCTGAAAACCTTTTCAGACCAGGTCGGGCTGGGGATGCACCCCTTCGGGCCGGGCCGGACACGGGCTCAGATTTTAGGCCCGTGCAGGGCTCTACTCTGAGCTTCTCTTTGTAGCCAGGATCCGGCCTCCTACCCGTCGTACCACTCCCCGCTCTTCTGCCCACTCTGGTCCAGGTCAGCTGCTTCAGTTCCTCCAGTGCTGATTCTGGTGGTCTGATGACTTTAAGCGCGTAACGTCTGCTGTAGCTTCCATAACTGCACTGTAGATCTTAGTTTCCTCAGGGTAATTCACCCTTAGCCTGGCCGGCAACAGGGTTCGGAAGGGAATTTGCTGCTCTTTCAGTAATTTGCGCTCCTCTGCATATTCCCTCCTTTTCTTTAGGATAAGAGGAGGGTATTTGTGATCCAGTTTTACTTGGTTCCATTTCTATTTAAATCATTTTTTGCCATGCTTTATGGAGCATAAGTTATTCATTTCACAATAATGCAGCGTGGTGGTGCCGGAGGTACTGCCCCCAGAGAGCAATGTGCCCATTCATTTCCTGTGGTTAGCTCATCTGGGGTTATCCATATGCCTTCCCGCAACAGCTTGTCCGCAAAGTCTCTGAATGATGTGGAGTCTCGCTCCGCTTTTTCAGGCACGCCATGAATGTGGAGTTTCTCTTCTCGTTTGGCTCTAAATCCATTCGCTTGTTCTCAAGCCTTATCTGGAGCTTTGTTATTTGCGTCATGGCATCTTCCGTGTTCTGAATTCTCTCCTTCAGCCTCTCAATCCGTCCCTCTGCCTCATCCATTCTTGCACTCATCTTCAACATCAAATCAAATCAAACTTTATTTATATAGCACTTAACCATACAATGAATGTAAGTCAAAGTGCTTAAAAAGGCCCCGCATACCCACATTCCCCCTCATCCCCAGAATTTAAAAACAGTCTGACAATAAAAACCCCTTCACAACACTCCTCCTCCAGCACACACACACACACACACACACACACACACACACACACACACACACACACACACACATTCACCTACCCTACATGTGATGCAGTCTGGGAAAAATCGTCATCACTCTTCCAATGCCCACTGATTTTATTCTGCTGATGTCCTTCTCCGTAGAATGGAAAGTTGCTGGTGCCAGTAATCAAAGACACGATAGATGTTTTCAATGATGAAAAACACTCCTCTTGATGAGAAGGGCACATGGGCAGGGTGTGAAAACAGACACATTCGCTGCCATCTCTGACATCTGGACACACTTCACTAGGAACTGTGCTGAGTCTTTTTCCTGGAGAACACATGACCATTGACCTGTTCCTGACCAAGGTTCGTTGTCCATTCACTCAGTACGTTGCATCCAAACCGCCGGACAGATTTGGGATAAAGTTGTGGATGGGGACAGATGCATGTGCAGTGTGTCCCCTTAAGCCTGACTGGGTCAGATGGAGCCCTTTGTGGACAGTGGGAGAAATGTCACAACAGACAGTTTCTTCACTTCACTGTTGCTGGCACACAGACTGCTTCAGAGCAACACCACTCTTTTGGGCACAGTGAATAAAGTTTGTCCTGACCTTCCTCCACTGGTTAAAGATGTTTCAGACCAAGAGGAACTCTCCACACCGGTGTTTAGAAGTGACAGTGTCTCCTTGACAGTCTATGCACCAAATCAAAAGAAAACTGTGTGCTTTTCCACTGTGGTGTCTCGGACTAAATGGTGTGCATGTATTCAGTACGAGCACCAACACACAGATGGCCAGTAGCTGTGTTTTTACCACCACATGCAGGACCTGGCTGCCTACGTTCTGTACAGGGCATGCACAGAAAGGCAAAAGAAGATGTTTATGAGTCTTCTAGTCAAGGAACTCTGCTGCAGATTCATGAAGCAAAAGGCAATAGCTGCTGCTGTGCTAGCATCTGTGCAGACAAGTCACTGTCAGGTACAAGAAAGCTGCTGCACAAATCGTTACAAGTTTAGCTGCAAAAAATGTCTCAAATTCACGGAGTGATGGTCACTTGGTCTCTTGGGGGCAGCAGTAGCTAAACAGGTTGAGCAGGTTGTCCAGTAATCGGAAGGTTGCAGGTTCGATCCCGGCTCCGGACAGAGAATTCTGCTGTTGTGTCCTTGGGCAAGACACTTAACTCACGTTGCCTGCTGGTGGTGGTCGGAGGGACCGGTGGCGCCAGTGCTCGGCAGCCTCGCCTCTGTCAGTGCGCCCCAGGGCAGCTGTGGCTACATCGTAGCTCATCACCATCAGTGTGTGAATGTGTGTGTGAATGGATGAATAATACACTGTAGTGTAAAGCGCTTTGGAGTCCTAACTCTGAGAGGCACTATACAAGTGCGGATCATTTATCATTTATCATTTGAATTGCTGCACTGAGACAAAAGGCAGAGAGGTGATGAACCTGGAACTGGATTTGTGTACAAAGATACAAAGAGACGGGTTTGTTAGCATGTTTTCATTCTATTAGACATATTTTTATTTTCTGTTAACAGCTACTAACATTGCATTTTCACAGTTTGTTCATGAATATAAAGACTTATGTTTCCAAATATTTTGGGAATGTCTGTTTCTCACTTTCAGTCAGTGTGGGACACGTTGTAAGGATAAAGGTTTTTGTAAAGGTTTCCATGTCACACACATGCTTGGGTCTTACTAGTGAGTTGAGTTAGCAGTCTGAGTAAATAATGCAGCTGTGGCAGTTGTCACTGGTGATTAGCGTGCTAACACAACAAATGCAGGACAATGGAGCTGAGCCCCTGCACAAATTTGTGCAGGCCTAGTAGTTGTAGGCATTTTTCACCAGAAAATAAAAAGCTCAGTAACTGTAGTGTTAAGGGGTTGGATTGGGGGGTTAAACTACCATATAGTTCCCATTTGGGAGGAGAGTCCTCGTCCAACCTCCCTTAAATATGGATGGGAAGGCCCAACCCCCAGATATGAGTAGATAAAAAGGTCTTTGGTCCGATTGATTGGAGGGATATAGAATCAAGATGTGAATTGCCTTCAAATGCTAAGTCTACACTCATAGAATATTGATTACATTATGTAACCATTTGGGGTGGGAATTGATGAGTTTTTATCAATATCAATGGCAATGTTAATTCTGTCCATCAGTCCAAATCCTTCTGAATTCCAGAGTAGTTCAATAGGTGGCAACAATGTATTTCACGTGGTCTCTTGCTGTCTTGTTGTAATAAACTGTCAGTTTATTAATGATAAACTATTGTAACTGGTATTGTTTGGAAAGATCTGTCCAAATGTTCTCCTTCATGCTCCTCGCGAAGCAGAGTCTTCTTGTACGGTGTAGTGTTGCTGCAGCTTTTGCAGAGTGGGAAGAATCTGACCTCAGGTCAGACTTGAGTTGCTGGAGTCTTTCTGTAAATCCTATAAACCTCATTTCACTTCCCAAACATAGCTGTTTCTCCCACATGATACAGCATATTAAACAGAAATGCTTTTTTTAACAACCAACGATTTATGCTTAGGTGCCATGTTTCCTGCCAAGTAAACATGTAAGATGCACTATGTAGCGTGAGTAAGCTGCACAACGTGCACGGTGACATCCTTTCTTGCCAACTGGAATTGATAAGGGAATTGTTTTCAAAAATGAAAAAGGTAAGGATAACTAGAAATGGTTCTCGATGCCTTTATCTCCCTCCCGTCTAGATGACTGTAACACACTCTTCGCATGTTTTAACAGAAAAGCCCTTGACCCCCTTAAGTTGGTCCAGAACTCTGCAGCGAGGCTCCTAACTGGAGCAGACAGAAGAGCACACATCACTCCTATTCTGATGTCTCTGCACTGGTTACCCGTTAACTTTAGAGTTTATTTTAGAATCCTGACTGTTAAAGCCTCATGCTCCAACCCGAGCCCTCAGGTCCACCCACTAGAACCTTCTAGAAGTTCCACAGACCAGGTAGACAAGTCGATGTGATCGCTCCTTTTAGACTGTTGGAACGAACTTCGTTTATCCTTACATAGTATTAACAGTCAGGTCACCTTTAAAAAGCATTTTATTTAAATCTGCTTTAATGAACTATTTAGTGGTTTTGTCATCTGCACCAATGATTTAAATGATCCTTAGTTATTGTTTTGATTTTATGATTCGATTTGTTCTTTGTAAAGCACTTTATTTGTCTGTCTGTGACGAGTGTTATACAAATAATCTTTACCTAATTACTTCCTAAGTTTAAATAAGGTGGATTTTACAATAAAATAGTAAAAACTGCATCTGTTTCTGTGCAGTGTCGAGTCATCAGAAGTCAACTGGAAGAGGACAAAGAGTGGAGGCATGAAAATCATCTGTCAGTCGGACACTAGAGATTTCTCTGCTATGGCCTTCATCACCGATCACGTCAAGTCTCTAATCGAACAGTGGTTCCCTGGTCAGTGCTCCTCTGTCACACAGCATCAAGCCTTTGGTCCTTCTCTCAAAGACACATAGAGAATATTCTGGTTGACAGAACAAGACATTCTGGATTGTTTTGATCATTGTGGGTTCAGCGGTTTTATTGTTGGTTGGATCACAGTCCAGATGTTATAAATCTCTCAGTCACGTTTAAAACAAACCTGTTCCAGAATTAAAAGACAGTTAGAAGTTGTGTTCTGAGACCTTGACTGGCCCAGATGTCTCAGCAGAGTTTCTTCTACAAGAATCAAACAGAACACTGTTGATGTTAGCCTAAATCAGCTGTCACCAACTCCAGTCCTCGAGGGCGACCACCCGGCTCCATCACGCCTGAATGGAGTCCTTTCCTCCTCTCCTTAACTCTGCACAGGCCTGTTATTCATTCATTCATGTTATTCATTCATTCATTTCAATCAGGCGTGTAGGAGCAAAGAAACAGCTAACGTGTGCAGGATGGTAGCCCTCGAGGACCGGAGTTAGTGACCCCTGGCCCAAATTCTGGTCCTGACCCACCAACATCTGCAATGAGCACAGCTCCAGGTTGACATTTTTGGATGGGCCTTCATTAAACAAGTTATTATCAATATAAGTCTTACAAGCAGGCACAGAAACAATACCCACATGCATAAGTCGACATTTACATGCTCCGCCTACACCTGAACAGGTCACCTGTGTGTGGGTAATCAGATGTCTCTAAAGGTTTACTCTCTCTGACAGAGACAGCGTTTCCAGACCTGGAAGGCAGTTGATTCAGTCAAAATCTTCCCGCCTACGCTCTTGTGGTTCTGCTGCGCTGGCCTATGACCCACAGACATGCTCCGAGCTGCTCTCCACAGCTCCTCAGTGTGCTGATGATAGCGGGCTGCACTCAGCATGGTGTCCAAGTCTGATAGTGCTCAGATGTTCTGATAAGAATACTTTCTTAATTGAGTTTGTTACCTCTGCGATGTTCTCTGTTCGAGACTTTTAAAACGCACACGCTCCTGCATGCCTCAGGGGAATTCCAGTCAGTCAAAATGACCAACAGCCTTCTGATTTTTTCATCAAAAAGTAGATGAACAGTTACAAAAAGATCTGGCTAATGCAATCCCAGCCAAATTTTAACTTTTACCTTCTTTTATAGAAAGTTGCAAAGATATGGAGAAACTATCAGACTTGATTAACAGCGGAGCAGAGGCGCACGGCGCCGTCAGCGCTGCGAATGTAAACAGGAAAAAATAAAGACAGTTGATCTGATCTTTTTCTTACCGTTTTCTCTTATTTATTTTTTATATATTTTATTTACTTAGGATTTTCCTTATAACATACAAAAAACAACGAACAAGCAAACAAACAGTGGCTCAGACACGTGCATATTGCCAGTCAAATAATAAGCTGCTGGGCAGAGACAGAGAGAAAGGTCATTGATGCAGGAATGAACAGTGATTTAGTCTCTTCTAAATATGCGAGGAATGGAGTCCAAGCATTGGCAAACATTCTCATTGAGCACTTTCTTGGGGATCTGAGTCTGTCCATTTGTATTAAGGACAGCATATCTGTGATCCATCCTTGAAAGCTGGGGGCAGTAGAAGACTTCCATTCTTTCAAAATTAAGCGTTTGGAGGCAGCCATTCCCAGTTCCAGAGGTCTCAGCATAGTTGCAGAGAGGTCCTGGACTGTCTTTGAGATGCCAAAAATGGCAAGTTCCGCATCCGGTCGAAGAGGTGTCTTATAGCTCTTTTCCATCGCCTGGTCTGGAATGGTCAGGTCTGGGTATTATGGACCGGTATGGGTCTAGAAGTTTTCTGGCAAGCGTTTCTATCGCATTCCAGGCTCCAGTTACTAGGCGGGGTGGCGTAATGCGTCACGCGCGATGTGTGCCTTAAGCAAGCGACGAGAACGCGCCAAAACACAACAACAATGGAGTCCAGTCAGCAGCGCGTTCCTTCTGTTCTTGGTGTTTGGTATATCCTTCACACCCACATCACGACAGCGTTTAGAGCTATGCTGTGCGCATCGAGGAGGAGGGCAGCTGAAAGGCGACGACACTTTCTGAAATTAATATCGAACACGAGGCATAACTATCTGCTGTTGAGACAAAGACGGAGGTGCCAGGTGGTAAGTAACTTCTAACGCTGTAATATATGTCGTTATAATCTCTGAGGGGGTGTCTAGGGCAACTATCAAAAAAGAAAAACTAAAAAAAGCACCAACATCAAATGGTTTGGTTGTATATTTGACATTTAAGACATGCTAAACATGAAAGGCCAACACCTAACTAAGTTTCAAACAGCTTCTGCACTCATGGTGATGCTAGTCAACACGAGGGCCTGAATCCTTCATTCTTTACTTCCTGGGCATGTCATAGATAAGTTGTGCGGCTATATTGAAATTATTATAATTAATTATATAGGTAATTACAAGCAATACCACATTTGTGCATTTTATAAAGTGAACAAAACATAGCCAGTCACAGGTAGCTCCATAAAGAACAGCTGTTATTTTAACCTTAAACAATTTCTATTCATGTGAACTTTATGTCTATAACCATACTGTTTCAATCTTTTTCACTGCACTATTGTTTTTACTTTTACTGTGTTAAGACTGTTTTAATTGTTTTTTTTTTAGTTGGCTCTTTTGAATCAGCGACGGCAACCAACTGTGTGGGCCTTCAGCCGTGCCAGTGCCTTCTAGGATGTGACCATGACAAACTTCACTCCGTCAGATTGGATAGCTCCTTTCAGAATGTCAGAAGAGACCTTTTCATATCTTTGTTCCAAGCTCTGTCCAGCCATGCAGAAGAGGAACACCAACTTCAGAGCCTGCGTGCCACTCAGGAAAAGAGTTGCAATTGCACTGTGGAAGCTTGCAACTAACAGTGAATACAGGAGCATCGGGCTTCTTTTTGGTGTTAGCACGACCTCTGTGTCAATCAATCAATCAATCAATTAATCAAAGCTTTATTTATAAAGCCGCGTGTCTGCCGCTGTGTGCAGGACTTCTGTAAGGCTGTCTGTAAAATCTTGCTTGCCGAGGTTATTGCTTTTCCAACTCTGCAAAAGCTACAGGAAATGGCCGACTATTTTGAGACCAGGTGGGGGGTTCCTCAGTGTGTGGGTGCCATCGATGGTTCCCATATCCCAATAATCGCACCACAGGGATTCCACACAGACTGTTTCAATAGGAAAGGTTGGCATTCCATAATCCTCCAGGGCATTGTGGATAGCAGAGGCATGTTCTGGATGGTTAATGCAGGTCAGCCAGGTAGCTTACATGATAACCGTGTGCTGCAATTGTCCACATTTTGGGACTTGGTTGCTCATGGACAACTGCACCCAACTAGTACCAAGAACATTGAGGGAGTAAATGTAGGCTTTTATGTGCTCAGGGACTCTGCCTATCCTCTACAGAACTGGCTCCTAAAACCATTTTCAGACAACGGTCATCTCACTGCAGAACAACAGACGTACAACAGGAAAAGGTCCAGAGCCAGAGTTGTGGTCGAAAATGCTTTTGGGAGGCTAAAGGGTAGGTGGCGATGTCTTCTGAAGAGAAACGACAGTGATGTAGAGCTTCTTAAACACATGGTGCTGACCTGTTGTGTGCTTCATCTGTGAGAGCCATGGGGAGGAATATGAATGTGACGTACCTGCTGATGAACCAGTGGTTGCAAATATGCAGGAAGTTGCAGAGGAGGGCAGTGATGTGCGTGAAGCTCTGATGCGACACTTCAACCACTGACCTCAATTTGTGTTTTTTCTTTCGATTTACTTTGTTTATTGTTTTGACACTTTTAACTGTTGGAAGCCTGTAGTTTGAACTGAAATGTTTGTTTTATTTTCAGAACTTAATAAAGTACACTATTTTACTTTTAACAAACTGTTGCACCTTTCCATTTTAACATGTATTTAAGGTGGGCTGTAATGTAATCTATATTTATTATGTAAATTTACATTTGCGAGCAAAATTGTTTCCAATACAATTCATGCACACCTTGTTTTTCTTTGAATTTTTATTGATAAAAATGACAAACGTGGGATGAAAAAATTACGGGACAAATACACAGCTCCTTACTGCCTGGGTGGTGGCAGGAAGTCAGAGGAGCTGCCCATTCTTTGTGCGACCAGTCCAAGAACAGCATTTAGGGCACCCAAATGTTCAAAATATCGCTCTGCGATCTGTAATTCATGCTGCCTTGCTGCTGCAGCGTCTTGTTGCATCCAGTTAACCTGCTCCCGGCTTATGCCTTCCATTCTGTCCATCTGCCTGCCATCTGCGATCTGCAACTCATCAAATATCACCTGAGTCCGTGCTTCCAATCGCCATCTTCGGTCACCTGGAAACAACAACATTGGCAATTACATTTGTGTTTATATGGATAACAAAATGTCAGTTGTCCAGTGAACTTGTCAGTTTTGTTGATGCACAAAGCAATTTTTAGAATGGTAAGACACTACCTGTGCGTTGGTGACATGGTAGATGTTCCTCTCGAATGGTAGTGGACAGAGGTGATGGTGGTGGCGAAGGAACTGGCCGAGGCAATGGTGGCACAGAAGGTCCTGGAGGAAGTAGATGGTTCCTCTGAAGAGGGAGTGCAGTGTTTCCCTTACATAGGCGTAGCCATGGCGGCCCGCCATGGCTGAAATCCCAGCGCCACGCCAACAAGATCCCAAGTTTGATTGATTTTTCTTTTGCGCCGTTTCCCAAAGAAGCAGTGGGAACTACAGTTGTTTCTTGTGATCACAGCCAGCAGGCAGCAAGGAGGAGGAGGCAGGGCAGGGTGGTTACAGCTAGGGATGAGCCGGATACTCGTTTCAGACTAGTATGCGGTACTGATAAAGCATTTCTGACGAATATGAGCATGAAACGGGAACCGGGAGCTCAGTCAGCTCGGCCCAGGCATCCACACACACACACACACACACACACACACAGTAACGGATCTCTCTGTGCTTGCTTCATTGTTGCTCGCGTTTCTTCAGTGCTCCCTAGGTTTTC